GAACCCTCAGATGCTTCAGTGTGAAGCCCTTACAATTGCTGGTGTGGAGCTATGAATGCGCTGGCTTAAATCCCTCAGAGGCCGGTACATGGACATCAGCGCTAAGTGAGAGCTTGTGTGGTGCCTTCAGTGGCCTTGTGGGGAGCCGTAAAACATCAACATGGTGCTCTCAGGAGCCGATGAGTCCTCAGAGTCACCGGTGTGGGGCCTTCAGAGCTCGGAGATACTGGTGTGGGGCCCTCAGAGGTGTCGGTGTAGGTCCCTCAGATGTAAGTACCTATAGAGCCTTGAGATGCACAGGTGTGGTGGCCCACAGAGGCGCCGGTGTGGGGCCCCCAGAGCCACCGATATATGGCCCTAAGAGACACTAGTATGACCCTCAAAGGCGCCGCTGTGTGGCACTCATAAACACTGGTGTGGAGCCATCACAGGCGGGTGGAGCCGTTGGAGGCCGGAAAGGGCCCTTAGATGCCTACAAGGAGCCTTCAGAAGCCGGCGTGGCACCCTTATGGGGATAAGCGTGTCTACTTAGGAGCCTTTGAGGTGCTCTCATGAGCTCTGTGGGGCCCTACCGATCCGAAATATGGCCACGGCCAGTTGCCGCCGCATGGCTCTTCGGACTATCATTCTCAGGGGCCTCATCTGCCTAGTTTGAATAGAAGGGCCTCTCAGACCATCAGTCTCATGGGCCTCCTCTGGCTAGTATAAATAGAAGGGCCTGTTAGACCATCAATCCTAGGGGCCTCCTCTGGTTAGTATAAATAGAAGAGCCTCTCAGACCATTAATCTCAGGGGGCTCCTGTGGACAGTATAAATAAAAGGGCCTCTCAGACCATCAGTCTCGGGGGCCTCCCTAGAAAAGTGCAAATGTGGATAGAGGGCCCCCTCAGATTCATTAGGAGTGGACCTCTCTGACTATCAGTCTCAGGGGCCTCTTGTGGCCAGTATGAATATAAGAGCCTCTCAGACCAGCGGTCTCAGGGGCCTCTTCTGACTAGTGTGGATAGAGGGCCCTCCCAGACCACCGGTTTCAGGGGCCTCCAGTGGCCAGTTATATGCACAGAAGGGCCTCACAGCCATCAGCCTCGGGGCCTCTTCTGACTGGTGTGAATATGAGGGCCTCTCATACCATCAGTCTCAGGGGCCTCCTCTGCCTAGTGTGAATATAAAGGCTTCCCAGGCCATCAGTCTCAGGGGACTCTTCTGACTGGTGCCGGATTGAGGGACCTCCCAGACCGAAAGTTTTGGGGGTCTCCTGTGGCCAGTATGAATAGAAGGGCCTTTCAGTCTATCAGTCTCATGGGCCTCTTCTGTCTGGTGTGATTGTAAAGGTCATCAGTCTGAGGGGCCTCTGACTACAGCGTAGATGGATAGGCCTCCCAGACCATCAGTCACAGGGGCCTCTTCTGACTATTGAGGATAGAGGGGGCCTCCTCTGACTAGTGAGGGTAGGGGGCCTCCCAGACCACCAGTCTCAGACCTCTGACTAGTGTGGATACAGGGGCCTCCCAGACCGCCAGTGTCAGGGGCCTCCCCAGACCAGTGTGGATATTGGGGCCTCCTCAGATCCACTAGGGCCTCTCAGGCCATCAGTCTCAGGGGCTTCGACTGACAAGTATGAACAGAGGGCCTCCTTGGATCCATCACGGCCCCTTGGAGTCCGTGCATGGGGATTCGTGGAACTTATTTTTACCGAGTTTGTTTATTCTGGAAGGTGACGACGTCCTCTCAAATCGAGACGAGGGGCCTCGAGTAAAAAGTGGGTGGGCCAAAACACATGGTTGGCCCCCCCACCTCGAAAAGTGGGTGGGCACTTGCCCACCTGGCCCCCCCTGTTCCTACGCCTATGGAAGCTACTGATTTTAGCGCCCGGCGGTAGCCTTATCAAATTCTTACCAAAGCTCAATCTTTTAGCTCCGAAGCTGCGTCAATGTCAACCTTGAACAACTCGTTGTTACGCCAGACTTCTAAGCACATATGACCAATGACCATTGAACGAAACGTCACTACTGAGACGAACTACGCTTCTTCGGTGTGCAGAATGACGACATAACACCCGTGAAAAGTGAAAGTTAGCATTGACTTGTCTACTGCTCGGGGTCTGTGTGCCTCTGCGGCAGTAATGTATGCATTACGTAGGGTCAGGGTAGGAGAACACAAACAAATGGTCGCGTCGGGGGGACGGGAGTCAAACGTCCGCCAATCGTCACTTTGAATACAAAACAATATGCGAGATGTTGGCACTTGGCTTTTGCCAGTGATAGATGCCCTTTTTCCGCTTAAATAATATGGGTGCAATGTGCATTCGAGCAGCATCACAAGTCTGTTGCAACTGCGGCAATAGGCACTAGGCAGGTTAAAACGAGACTAAAAATGTTATGGTTTCAATGACATCATCTGTTGCCGTAACAAACTTCAACTAACTTAGTTTCTTTGGTAGCGGCCCAGTCACACTGGAAAAGTCTTGCAACAGCGTTTGCATCTCTATTACTGGAATCAAAATCGTCTACCTCTTTTCAGTCTGCGCGATCGACAGATTTTCCATATTAGCAACCGCCTAGTGCTTAACGTCGACACGGCTGTGTTGGTAAATAATGAAATGAAATGTCGCAATACCACTGAGGCTTATCATATACCACTACATTTCTAATCTTAGCAATGCGAGTTTTAGGAATCGTGGGATAGTCTCTCAAATCTTGCAGCTAGTATGCCGTAAATTGGCCGTTCGCTGACGATAATGAGCTACAGTTGACGACAGCTTCAAGGCCATCATTAATCTTAACATGCCATTCCAAAATTAAATTATTGCAACATCGAACAGGACAGCTGAAAGAAACAGCAGACAGGTTTGAAGACGACGCTTCAGGAAGATATTTTATGCATCAGCATCAATCAAACTCGGCGTCTTGCGATCAGCGACGTCAGTATCTGTCCTTGGTTCAAAACCTGTACGCAAATTTGGAAATGTGGCACTATCTGAATTAAATATTTAAATCCTTCATATGCTGCGAGCATTTGAAAACCATGGAGATATTATCAATTACCATTTATGCAATGAAACCTAAAAATGTAGGATTTTTCTGCGTTTTTTTATATGAATTTTATGCCGTTTTTTATCGAAGTTACCAAAAAACGAACCCGTGCCTTGGTCCTCTTGACCTGACCTCAGAGGTCAACGATTGACCTGAAACCTTAAAATCGGGTACCAATCTCTGAGTCTCGTAACGGCGCATACGCTCGTTTTTTCTGAGAAGCTCTAGCTCCATCAGGGCCGAAACGGTGAGGGGGTCAAAGCAACCCCTCGTCTGGCGCATTATGTAGAAAACCAATAGGACTGCGGCGAGGGTTAAACCATGCGTCTTCAGTTATTGCTAGGAAGCATATAACTTTAAGAACACTTTTATGCGTTGACGAAAGCCCGATATCAGCCACCGTCCATGAATGCATAAATCGAATTGTTGTAAAATCTCCTTAGGGAAGGTGACTAAAATAAATAGAAAAATGAATATTACTGGGATATTGCAAAAAAGGAACATCAAATTAGAAACGAGATAGAGTTAAAACAATTCTAGCTACTGAAACAAGTTCCGCTGATATCCAGTTATTTCCGCTGGCCGCAATTCACACCGGTGACCTGCACGAGCCAGACTGATCAAGTGACTTCAGCTGATGATCCAAATCGGCCAAAACAAGTTGGGGCCAAAATCATTTTTTATCCAAGGTACGAACGTCTACAACCTGCACAACTAGCGACGACTGATTTTTTATAATTCACTGAAAAATAGTTTTTGACGGCTCAGACCAAGGCCCTAAAACAGCTGACTTATTAACCCGGCAGTTGCTGGGGTATTTCGCCACCCACCGTTTGCTGGGGGGGGGGGGGGGGCGTTAAACGCCCCCAGCCGATAACTCGAGAACCAATAGGCGCAGCGAAACGCACGAGGCGGCAAACGAAAGAACGCGACAAGACGCTTCAGATGAGTACTTTAAAGTTGAATTTTGAGGTCACAGGTCGGGTCAAGGTCAGGTCAAACACCTGAAATCGGGCTTTCAGTAGCATGGACTTCAGGACTTCGCAATGGGCGCCTCTCGCCATAAACTCTGTCAAAACGGTGCACAATCCATCTTATAAGGCCTACAAGAGTGTCAGCTCCATGTAGGGGTCAGTCAAGCATAGGTCAAGGTCAAGGTCAGGTCAACCGGGTAGGCACATATCCCCGAAAATCAAAACTGATATTCGCAGCCTGTGACACATGTTTTATAGGTAATTTGGGGCGTAGAACACGATGGTGACATTCATTTTATCATATGTGTACGTGTTTGGCTCAAAAAGTTCAATTTAAGAAATTCATGTATCATGGTCGTGAAGTAGTCACGAAAAATTGCCAAGATTCAGTTCAAGATTATGGAAAATGCGGAACGATAATCAATAATCGAAGATACCCATTTGATTGACCATGGTATTGGCAGTCTAATGGCGTTTACGGCATGTCTGTATGCCTATTCTGTGATTTTATATGATTTTTTGAACATATGCCGTTTTTGGTCGAAAACTCAGAAATCATGACGTCACTAAAACCTCGATATCTCAAAAATTTTCCGACCGATTTTTTTGAAACTTTGTCACAATAAACTTCAATCAATTCTCTACAGGTACCCAAAATTTGGCGCGCCTGCGGCGCGCCGTTTTTATGCTATGGCCCGGCGAAAAAAGTGGGGGCGTTTAACGCCCCCCCCCCAGCAACTCGCGGGCTAATATTTCCGAGATTAGCTCAGGTCAAACAATGTGACCATCACTAGGCAGGCTGATAAAAAGTTGTCGCCATCAACCAAGAACAACCAAGCGACATACCAACTGATCAACTGATCATAATAGGTACATACAATTGCCAAAATTGACTAGTTTTCATAACTAGACATGAGCGTAACGACCAACTCTGACCAAAATAGCAACCAACCACAACAATTACCCAAAATTACTACCCTTAACCCAGACTGACCTTTCGGGGACCTTGACGGCGCTTGCCGTCGCCAAAGCAACCAGTAGAACGACGACGGGCCGATCCATGTCCTCTTCCAGTGCCCCGTGTAGAGCAACTGCGAGCCGCCGCCCGGCAAACAGCACATTTGTAGCTGCAGCGCCGACCCCCGGCGGCCAGTGCTGCCATATGATATGGCAGCACGCCGGCCCGCGAGGGGTTCCAGGTAGTTCGGGAAATCCTGGTCAGGTGAGCCATCACACTACGCATGAGCTGCGCAGCGGCACCGAATGATCATGGGGAGGGGTGGGGTGTCTTCCTGTAGGTAGATGGTTGCAGCGAACGAAACCGGCTACGCACCGGGTCGCCCGATTGAACATCATGAGACACTGCTTTGTATGGGTGTGGGAAGGTCAAATGTGATATGCTGTTAACCGCAGGTCTCTCTCTCTCTCTCTCTCTCTCTCTCTCTCTCTCTCTCTCTCTCTCTCTCTCTCTCTCTCTCTCTCTCTCTCTCTCTCCCTCTCTCTCTCTCTCTCTCTCTCTCTCTCTCTCTCTCTCTCTCTCTCTCTCTCTCTCGTCCTATCTTTCTCTTCATTTATCTCTCTATGCTTTACCTCTCATTTACGAGTATACCGTCCTCTTGCCCAATTGTCGTGCATTTGGGTACTTTACCTGCTAAAGTCTATACTACGTCATAATCCAAAAACCAAACACCTAAATCTAGCATGGAACCTAGCAATCCTCCTAGATTATCTTCCTAAGCAACACCAATGAACTTTCATCTCTTTGCTGTATGTATTTATTTATTGGCATGCTTGTCTGCTTGTTTTATACGTACATAAAACACGAGCAAATCACTCACAAAAAAGGTTATTGATATTTGCAGTATACGCCCTTTGGTTTAACCCGCGCCCAGATGGGGTCTGCCGAGCAACGCCGTCTGATGGGGGGGGGGGCATTTTGCCCCCCCCTCAGATCTCGAGAACCACGCAACATAGCGACAAGCGGTAAACGGTGTTGGATAGCCCCAACGGGGAAATACCTTGTGACCCAATTTCATTGACCTCGGTCAAACCGATGACGTAACAGGTCAGGTCAAAGGTCGAATTTTCACCGTTTACAGGCATTTCAAGAAATGCGTTGTAAAATCGAGTAAAATGCATTTCATTGAAAATCATCGATGGGGAAATGTTCTTCAAACACATATTTTGCTATTTGAGGTCACTGATACCAGGTCAGGTCACAGAGGTCAGGTCACTGGGGGGGGGTCACAATATGAAAGTGTCGTGTGATACATGTTTTAGGGTCCATTTTACATGACAAATGCGATTATGTGGGTCAGACAGACTTAAGGGCCAGCTTAGGTCACGTTTTGGTCAAGGTCAGGTCAAGGTCAGGTCAAGGTCAGGTCAAATTAGGTCAAATTTCAAAGTTGATATTTTTGCATAAAATGGGTATCGATTCGATGCAGCTTGTCACGGGGAGTTTAATGGTGGTCTCCGTTTTGCGCTACGAGGTCTATAATTGCTAAAAATTGAGTTCAAAAATTTGACGTCATCAATTTTTAACAGTTTTTTCGCTATAACTTGGCCAAAAAAAGAGGTATCGATCTAAAATTTGGTATGTATATCGAAGAGCGCAGGGACTATCACATATGTTCCGGCTTTTCGAAATTCGAATTTTTTTGGGAAATTTTTTGAGTTTTTTTTAAATCAATTTTTTTAATTTTTGGGGGTCAAAATCCCAAAATATCGAAAATCCGAGATAGCAGTTTTGTAGCGGCGTCTTTTCTCTACACAACCACCTAAAGAACTTTAAAATTGCTTGTTAACTGTAGAATTGGTGAGCGTTTCAAGATGTCATGTTTTTTGCTCATTTTTACTCGAACATGACCTCAGTTTGAACTCAATAACTCCTGACCTGAGGTGACCTGTGACTTGAAATTTTTTGTGAAGGTGTCAAATTGATGCCCGGTAAGGTGCCCAAAATTTGGCGGCGCTGCGCGCCGCCGTTTTCTCGCTATTTAAGAAAAACCACAGGGGGGGCCAAAATGGCCCCCCCAATCAGGGCGCGGGGTAAACCTTTTCAGATTCCAACGCACTGGCATTGAACTGTAGCTGGCCAGCGATTACTGCACGCTGAAGGTTGAAGCCCTTTCAGATTCCAGAAATATACGTCCCAGGACCAGCGCTGCCAGACATTATAGCGGCTACCCTGGTGAATGCTCGGGAGTTCCCCCAGTTCGTAAAGAGCATAGCCGCCACTCAGTACCCGGGAAGTATGGAGCAAAAGGGAGGGCGATTCATGGAAGGACGGGAGGATTCAGAGGAATGAAACTGGATTTTCCAGGCTGCGAACAAGCGGTGCGCACTTAGCACTCAATAACCCGTAATGGCGGGGACGAAGTGTCAGCAGCTGTCTTCCTCACATCGGTATCTCCGAACGTAAAAATGCATCGTTACCATATAAACTCAGCGCCTGTTACTCAAATTTGATGTCTCAGGTTAACTAGTGACCTCTGAGGTCAGGTCAAGTGCCTCAAGGAAGGGGTTCGGTTTTTGGTGAATGACCTTGCCAGAAATAGTTGCACAGCCACGATTTTAGCACCATCATGTTTGCCACGATCAGGCGCGTCGAATGATGAAACTTTGTTTAGGACATCAACTATTAACTAAGGTGTTGACCTAAGGTCAAGATATTAGATAAGGCCACATTATTCCAGGTCACGGAGCTGGTCCCATGAGGTCATATTGCATATCATTCGAGTTGGCATGTCTTCCTGAGTCCATTGCAGGCTTTCCCGACCCTCCCTATCTCAAGGTGATTGAGAGTTAACAATACAAACTTTGATGACCATATTGACGACATATATGACGTTACAGAGGTCAACAATGCAAAATTAGGCATCGGACCTTCCAAGAGAAGGAGTTTGTGTAATAGGGATTCTATGTAGGTACTTTATGATGGTCTAGGTCTTCAATCATTTTTATTTTTTGACGTCAAATAACAGATTCTATAGTCACCCATTGACTTCTGTTTTTCAACTAACAGACAAAACAAAAACGTAAGGTATATTTCTGCCTCATAAAATTCACATCTTGTGTCAAAAAGGAAAGTTGCATATCTTTCGTAGGTTTATTAACTCGCGCCCCACTGGGGGGGGGGCTATTCATAGCCCCCCCTCCTGTTTTCGGCCATAACTTCCAAACCGCTTGACGTATCGACGCCAAACTTTCAGTACCTTCGGCTGCATCAATTTGACACCTTGTGTCAAAATATGAGCTTCGTAGCTACCATAGGTCGGCCGGAAATGACGTCAGAGTGACGTCATGTTCGGCCGATTTCGACGCAAAACATTGAACCACGTCAATCGCTCCCAAGAGCTCAGTTTTTAAGCTAGATCCAATTTCTTTGCATGAGAGGACTCAGAATAGACTGAGTTATTAAAATGCTATCTCGGATTTTCAAAATGTTGAAAATTTCGAAAACTTTATATAAAAAAATTCAAAATTTATATTTTTACATTTTTTTCAAAACGTTTTTTACTTTTAGAACAAAACGGAATATATGTGATAGAACGCATTATTATGACCAACTCTAGCAAGTTTTATCTAAATATCCTCAAAAATAACCAAGTTATACGCATTATTGCAAAAAAATTCACAATTATTAATTTTTCAAATCAATTTTTTAGCACGTATTTGACATCGTACGCCAATATAAATGGCACCATCGTGTTCCTGAGCTCAAACTGCATCAAATAGACACATTTTTTGTTGAAAAATTTTAACTTTAAAATTCGACCTTTTTTGACCTGAAAGTGACCTGACCTAAGCTAAATTCGACTCAAAATGACCTCGAATGACACAGACGACATCAAATTTGAAATCTTTGGCCTAAATGGACCATAAAAGATGTGTCACGTGACCGACACATGATATAATATTTTCGTGACCTGTGATGACCTGACCTTGACCTGAAAATCAAAATACAAGTTTGGTACCCTCAGGGTATCTAGAGCATCTGTTCACGAGTGTGTGAACCAAAAATGAGCCTGATCTGACTTGTAAGACGGCTGCCAGAGCCCAAAACGTGAACAAGCCAAAATGCTAATAATTTTAACTTTGACCTGACCTGTGACGTCATCGGTGACCTTGAGGTCAATGAAATTAGGTTTCGCTCGACAGTTTCTCCGGGGCTATCAGACGCCGTTTGAATTTTGACGATCAGCCGAGTAGGTTCGGAGTTAGGACTGGAGGGGGGCTATGGAGGCCCCCCCCAGTAGGGCGTGTTATACGCAGACCCCAGTGGGGCGCGGGTTAATAGAAACTAAGATACTTACGGTGACAGGACGCTCGATCATTTTGATGCTAAAAGACGTTCTACAGCAAACGAGCTCAATTATGAAGCTAATACTGATTTATTGATGGACAAGCCACCCAAGTTCACAAACGGTCATCAAATCCTGCAAAAGCATGCTCCGATGGGACTTACTCGAGTCGTTTCAAGGGTCTCGCGCAGCCGTAACAGGAGTTCTGAGGTTTTTTGAGAAGGATTTGCGTGTCTAGGATTGGTCAGAGGGATTGGAGCTTCCCATCAATGCGCGCTTTTGTTTTCTTTGGTTCGGTTAGGATCTTTTGGTCATTTGTAACCATTGTAGAGCCGGAAGGATGATAGCAATTAGGGGGAGACTTTGGTCTGGGTGGGCACCCTAGTGAGTCACCTGGCCTGAGCCCATCCGATTGTACAGCCCACCCAGCGCCCTGAGAGTCACCGACTCACCGCACCCGGCTACGGGCGCCATGCTCCTATGGGAGCTTGCCGCATGGGATAAATTTGCCCATCCAGCCCGGAGCAGGGGGTTGAGGTGTGGAGGGGAAGGATTTGTCTGTCCTGAGGATGGAAACGACGGAACGGATGATCAATACACGTTTCGCATGGAAACGTTATAGGTATGCCATATTCCAACAAACGTTCGGGAGTAAGAGTCGTGGAGCCTTGACTTGATTGACTCTGACTCCGATCTCTGTGTCGTTGCCACCACTCCATGCAATTCCAACTCTGACTCCGAACTCCATGTTCCCCCCCAAAAAAAACACACACACACACACAAGCCGGCTAATCGGTATTTATAAT